TTTTTTTCAATTATCAATAATATACTGCCTTTTTATCTCGGTTTTATCTATTCTCTCGGGATTTTTTTCCAGCGAGTTTTTTAAAATCTGTATGTAATCTATTAAAACTCGCACACCTTTCCAAAAATTAGTTTCCTTACCATCTTTGGTTTTTTCATTCCTAGTTAATATTTCTCCTAACTCTCGGTTTTGGAAAATCTGTTTACGTTGTGCCAACGAGAAAAAATTTCTTTTTCCTGCTAGTTTGGGTTCTTGGCTGAAACCAAAAAAAGCTTTCCTAATGGTGGCTCGGCGATGATTGAACGTTTCCTCTGAATTACAATAAGGAGACAAAATATAATCATATCACCACTGATAATCACCCAATTCATTATCTTTAAGATAATTTTTTAAAGCCAGAGAAGTAATAAGGCTATAGCCGTCGTTAGGAGCGTCATATATTCGGCCATGCCACAAACTTCCACGGTCTATGCTATTTACAAAATTATTTTTCTCTCCTTCTAGTCATCGGCGATTACTTATTATTTCATTAACTATTGCCGGTTCTGCTTTTTCGTCAGCCTCGTTGATTTTTCTTGCCTCCTCATTGGTAAAAAATCATTTACTATGAATAATTTCTACCCTGGTGAAAGAAAGAGTGTTCGGTTCAATTTGCGATTGTTGTTCAGCCTGGAAGAGAAGAAACTGGTATTCTTTGTAACTTCTTTTTTTTAATAAATCTTTGTGTTGGTCAAGACTAGTGTCAGTAATTTTAATCTTATGGAAGAATTGGTTGTCGATAAAAAGTCTAAATTGGAGTTGTAGTTCTCTTTGGTGGGGGTCAGTATCTTCGGTCTCATAATAGAAATTAGGGTCCTGTTTTAATTTCAAACAAAAATATTTTTTCATGATAGGTGATTGGGTAGTTATATGGATTAATATATTTATAGATTATTTTTAGGCAATTTTTACAAAATTACCATGATTGGTCGGTTTGGCTTGGTAAAATTATATATAATTGCTAAAACTTTTTGGTAAATAACGAAAAAATTCCTGGTGCTTGGTGGAAAGTTATAAAAAATAAAAGTTAACAAATGAATTTAGATAGTATTGAATTGTCAGATAGGACTAAAAAAATCTTGGTAGAAATTGGATATAGTCAATTGACTAGTATCCAGGAAAAAGTTATACCTTTGGTATTAAGTGGGAGAGATGTTATTGGTCAATCACACACCGGAACGGGAAAAACAGCGAGTTTCCTTATTCCTACTTTGGAAAAGTTGAAAAGAGATTTTTCCCCGCAAGTGCTTATTTTGGTTCCCACCCGAGAATTAGCTTTACAAGTCAGCGAAGAAGCCAAAAAATTAGCGGCGGTTAGCGGTTTA